GGCCATGGCACGATACTCAGCTTCGGCAGACGAGAGCAACAGTTTGTTGCTTCTTGGTGCGCCACGAAAGAGGAGAGTGGCCAAGTTGCACAAACCAACCCGTTAGAGATCGACGTGTGGTAGGACATGAGGCCCAATCAGAATCACACCAACCAGAGAGTTGTAAATCACAATCAGAACGAAGAAGAATACCCTGGCCCGGGGTACCCTTAAGATACCGCACAACCCGAAGAGCAGCGTCCCAATGCAACTGACGGGGTTGCTGCATGAACTGAGATAAGATGTGCACAGCATATGACAAGTCTGGGCGAGTCACAGCGAGATAGATCAAACGGCCCACCAAACGCCGATATTGCTCAGGATCATAGAATAACGGACCCTCCGTGGAAGAAAGCTGATGATTCTGCTCCATAGTAAAAGCAGCCAGTTTTCCGCCAAGTAAACCAGACTCGGCAACAACGTCTAGAGTATACTTCCTCTGACACAGGAAAATGCCTGAGGAGTTCCGAGCAACTTCAATACCCAGAAAATATTTCAAAAGGCCTAAGTCCTTCATGTGAAAACAGCTGCGCAAGTACTCCTTAAATTGAGAAATAACACTGGGGTCACTACCAATGATAATCAAGTCATCAACGTAAACAAGAACATGCAGACGAGTAGAATCGCGATGAAGGGTAAACAAGGAGTAGTCGGAAAAAGATTGTTGGAAACCATACTGCTTAAGAGCAGTAGCAAGCTTCGCGAACCAGCAACGAGGAGCCTGCTTTAAACCATATAAGGACCGACGTAACCGACAAACATCACCAGAATTGGGAGAATGGAAGCCAGGAGAAAGCTTCATGTAAACTTCTTCAGATAAATCACCGTGCAAGAACGCGTTGTGAACATCCATTTGATGAACCTCCCAATTACGAGCAGCCGCTACGGCCAGGAAAGCCCGAACTGTGACCATTTTGGCGACCGGGGCAAAAGTCTCCTGATAGTCAATACCCTCCACCTGCCGATTACCTAGAACCACCAACCGCGCTTTATAGCGCTCAACAGTACCGTCAGAATGATACTTAATTCGAAAAACCCACTTACAGCCAATGGCGTGCTTGCCAGGAGGGAAAGAAACCACATCCCAGGTGTGATTATTCTCAAGAGCCTAAATTTCCTGCTGCATAGCCGAACGCCAACGACCATCGGTAACCGCCTCCCGATATGACTGAGGTTCCACAGCAGAAGAAATGGCAGCTAAAAAAGACTTATGCGCAGGTGAGAATGAATCACAAGAAACATAATGTGCAATAGGATATGGGTTACCTGAGGACGGAGATGTAACAGGAGAACAATGGGGAGGGTCGGGGTGACAACATGATGAGAAACGAAGTCTGCGAGACGAGTGGACCGATGCTTGATGCGATGACCACGACCAAGTAACTCTGGGGAAGAGCCCCCCTGTCGGTGGAAGTAACTGAAGATTCAGAAACCGGAGGAGACGATACGATAACATCATCATCATCAAAAATCACATGAGACGTTACAAGAGGAGGCACTGGAGTCGGCGAGATAACAGAAAGAGTTGAAAAAGGAAATACAGATTAATAAAATTCTACATCACGAGAAACAAAGAAAGTCTGGTGTTCCAAATCATAAACACACCATCCCTTCTGTCCGGAAGGATAACCCACAAAGATACATTTTCTACTTCTACTAGCAAACTTATCACCACCCCGAGTCTGATTGTGCACATAACAAAGACATCCAAAAACATGCATGTGAGCAAAGCTAGGAGGTTTGCCGAACAGTACCTCGTAAGGAGTTTTGCCAGAAAGAACAGAAGTAGGGGTTCGATTTATCAAATAACCAGCCGTCATAACACAGTGACCCCAAAATTCCAAAGGTAAATGAGCCTGAAAACGCAGAGCACGAGCAACATTGAGAATATGCTGGTGCTTGCGTTCAACACGCCCATTTTGTTGAGGAGTCCCAACACACGAAGTTTCATGAATAATACCCTCCCGGTGAAAATAAGGCCGCAAACAGGTAAACTCAGTGCCATTATCACTTCGTAAAACTTTAACCAATTTATCAAACTGACGTTTAACTAATGCAAAGAAATCCATCAAAGTAGCAGACACCATAGATTTATCCTCTAACAAGTAAATCCACGTAGCACGAGAGTAATCGTCTACAATAGTCAAAAAATAACGAGCACCACTGAAAGAGGGTACACGGTAAGGTCCCCACAAATCACAATGTATCAAAGTAAAAGGACCATTACTAATACTGTTACTGAGAGGGAAACTAGAACGAGAATGTTTCGCCCGGCAACATACATCACAGGTTTTATTTGATACTAAAGACCGAGATTTAATAAAAGGAAACTGAGCAAGTACGGTGGAGGAAGGATGACCCATTCGTTGATGCCAAAGCTCGGAAGAGACGGACGTCACTCGGGAGACCGATGCAACCTCAGACCCCCGGAAGAAATAGAGACCCCCCACTTGTTCACCCGCTCCAATCACCGTCCTCGAAGTGAGGTCCTGAATTGCACAAAATGATTTAGTGAACGTAGCAATACAACCAGATTGATCCAATAATTGATATAATGATATCAAACTACACCGAAGATCAGGAACGAATAAAACATCATAAAGAGTGATGGAAGAACCGAGTTTCACAGTTCCAGTTTCACAAGCGGTGGTAAGCATGTCGTTGGGCAACTGAACAGGTTACGGGGAAATATCATTCATGTCAGAAAAATACTCCAAGAAACCCGTCATATGGTGCGAAGCACCACAATCAAACATCCAATCGGAAAAACTGCGCTTACCGGATAAAGGAGGATTGTTGCGAGCGGAAGTTACCAAGTGAACAAGCGACTCCCATTGGGAATTAGTAAGCCTAGAAAGCGCAGCCCTGTCCAAGTCACCAAAAGAAGATGAAGATGCAGGCTTATTATAAGAGCCAAGCCCATGAACCGAAGAAGGCCCAAAATCCCCACCAAAAACAGCATGGGCGCTCGGATAGCCACCCCCGCGCCCACCGGTGCGACCACCACGAATAGATCTGCCCCCTCCTCGCGCCGTTGCACCACCCACGCGTCCGCCAGTACCCCAGCCTTCAGGATATCCCACAACCTGGTAGCAAGCAGAGGCAATATGGCCTCTTTTTCCACAATGAAAACAAGTCAGGTTGGCCACGGTTCGTCTGCCGCCTTGCGCACCGACGCCGGGAGACGTAGCCGCTGCTGCAAAAACCGAACCCGAGCCAGCAGCACCGTTACCGCCTGCAGCAGTTAAGACGCCACGGCCTGCAGTGTTTGGGACACCACCATCTGTACCTAAGCTGCCGCCTGCAGGCACCGGCGCAGCCCCGAGAACGCCGTAATCACTTTTGACCGCAAAACTGGCTACTTCAGCCGTGGTTGGTACCTGGACAGCAGTTCTCATTCGCTCCTCCCTCACCATCATAGAGTAAACACGGTTGAGAGAGGGCAAAGGCTCAAGAGCTAACACGTTAGAACGGGTATTACCATATAAATTGCCATCTAATCCCATCAAAAACTGATAAACTTTTTCATTCTCCTTTCTTTTATCCCATTCAACTTGCAGATTACAATCACATTTACCACAATGACATAATGGAGGCTTGTCATAATCAGTAAGTTCATCCCAAATCTTGTTAAGGCGACCAAAATAATTTTCAATACTACTCCCAGGTTGTTTACATGCAGACAAGGCAGTTTTAAGTTCCAAAATTCGTGGACCATTAACAGTGGTAAAACGATCACGAAGAGAAAGCCACAAATTATGAACAAGATCCGGTTCCGAGATGGTGGAACGTACCTTGGGGTCGATGGTGTTCATGACCCATGAAATAAGAAGGGAATTGTTTGCAAACCAGTCATCAAGGAGATCCGAGTCAGCCGACGGCCGCGGGATAGAACCATCGAGGAAGCCATATTTTTTACGAGCCCGCAATGCCGTTCTCAAGCTACGAGACCATTCATCGTAGTTGGTATCACCTCGGAGTTGAACGTGAGTGATGAGTAAACCGGGATTATCGGAAGGAGAGATGTCATAGGGGGAAATTGTACGACGAACAACAGCCGTTGAGGCACCATCACCACCAGAAGATTGCTCAGAGGAGGAGGAAGTAGGGGTAGGTCCGACCATCGTTAATTTTCAATCAAGAAGAGAAAGAGAAAGAAAAAAATTATGTCCGCTCTGATACCATGACAAAAGAAAAGTGGAGTTGTGCTGAAACATCCAAAACCTGATGTTCAGGAGGCTAGATAGCCATATATTTATATACACTTGGATTAGGGTTTACAAAGCTATCTATGGAAACAAGATCAGAGTCTATCCTAATACACAATTCAAGCCACTAAATACTTCCTATAATTAAGGTATAGATATACATTCCTAACACTATATATATATTTTTTTTTCCTTTTCATGTATTTGTACCGTTTTAAATTTTATTGCATGTATCCCTTACAATTGCATAATAATCATGACATAAATATCTTAATTTCCTACATGTGACTAGACGTGGCCAAAGCCCGGACCGGTTCACGGCTCAGGCCGGCCCGCCCGGTCGGCGGGTCCCAAATCCTAAGCCCATAACCCGGCCGCCTATATCATAAAGGCTGGTTTAATGCCGGTTTAAAAAAAATAAAAAATAAAAAAATATAATTATAATTGTAGCCCGTCGGCAAACCAAGCCTCGGAACCGGTCTGGCCCGACCTGGGAGTCAAAAAATGAGTACAACATGATCCGTAACCGCCCCTTAAGGGTTTATGGGCTGGTTTAAAAAACCGGCTGGCGCGGGCCGGTTCCCGACCGGTCCGGGGCAGGTTCACGGGTCGGGCCCTGCCAGTGTCCATGTCTACATGTGACATGGTCTTTTGTCCCTGTTTTTTTTACCTTATCCCTTCACAAAACCACTCATCATCATCATCTTGTCACTCAAGTCTAAAGAGCATCAATAAAAATAAAAAAATAAAAAAATGAGTTGTTCATTTTTGACCACCGTTTCACCTCCATCTCACACCATCTTCAGACCAAATCAAAACCCTTCTCTTCAAATCGGCTCACCTCGTACCAACAGTGTTGCGTTCAACAAAAGAAGAACAAATTCGAACACAATTAGGGCTCTGTTTTCAACCACTAAAGAAGCTGTCTTGGAGGATTTTCGTCATAAAAGGGTCCTCAAAGTTATTGCTCAATTCAAAAAACTGTAGTTATTGTTCACATTTTTTGATGTTTTTAGTTGACAAATTGGGTTTTTATTTATTTATTTATTTATTTACTTTTGAGGACTCACATTTGATGGTTATTGCAGATTATTTCAGGGCTACAGAATTTGGACAGAGATAATGTAGCTGCTGTTGTTACTGCTGCAGATAAGGTTGGATTTTGTTTTGTTTTGTTTTTTCATTTTCATTTATTCTGTGATAATTGTTTTCCTAGTTTAGTGTTGTCCTTTATTTCAAGTTATTGCTGCTTGTTTCAAGTAGCTGCAGAAGCTAATTTGATGCAACATAAATTCATATCTGATACATCTAATTTGTTTTTTCTGTTC